ATTTCAAAAGAAGCGACGTACAAATTCTATTTTTTAAAGTACGTACTTATTTACATAATCGCTTACCAGTGAATGTTATCAAAAAAGCTATTTTTATCACCGACTACGCCTATTTATTTTCTGATTCGGAATTCTAAAAAATAAATAGGATCTTTTAAACTCCAACTTAATTTTGAAAAAAATCAATTCTGAAACCCCCTATTGAAATAAGTAAAGAATTGTTAATTGTTTTGATGTTCTAATTTATAATATAGTAGTTTGACTTCTACGTAATTTGATCATAGCGATAGTTTAATTTTAATTACGATATATGTTAAAATTAGATTTATCGCGTGATAAAACCCAAAACATAGTGATGTTAAAACGTTTAGTCGGCATCACTACTGACGGCCTTTCACGTTTGATCTAGATACGAAAGCTAATTCTAATCAGAAAAATTGCACAGAACTGGCAAAAAAGTCGGACCGGTAAACCGTCCCGAGTTTTTAGGACCGACCGACCCATGATTTTTTTAATATCTAACTTTAATTAATTCTAAATTGATTTCAACTCAAATCGGGTAATTTAATTAATTCTAAATTGATTTCAACTCAAATCGGGTAATTTACAAGATGTTAAGTTTAAGCTTTCCCCATAATAAAGGTAACGACTAATTAATTTTATACATATCTTTGATCGTACTAAAGTTTTTTCGTTCGACCTAAAAAAAAGTTTAACTGAAAAGATCCATGATATGATAAATTTGTTTCAAGCCAATACAAGCATTATACCAAATTATGTCTTTATCATTTCGGCGGATCGGCGGGATTGGCCTTTTTAATCAGACCCTAAATTAATCATTTTAGGGTAATAATAATTATATCAAATTAATAAGTTATACGTATATCAGAGAATGACATATTTTATTAATGATTAATAAAATGAATAGGGTTCAAATTCAGATGATCTAAAAAAGGTCCAATTCCGCCAATCCGCCGAAATGTAGAGTTTCAACAAGTATCTAGTTATTTTTTTCTTTATGGAGTTTCAACAAGAATCTAGTTATTTTCTTCTTTATAGAGTTTCATAAAATTTAAAGATGATCTAATTATCTTTTTTTATGAGACGAATCAAATTTAATTAATAATATAGAATTTGATTAATAATAGAGCCATAGAAAAACATTATATAAGGAGGTCAAGGAAGAAAAAGTGAAAATTAATAAAGATTGATAAAAACTGACTGAAACAATGAAATTCAACCTTTTCTTACTCTTTTTAACTATCTTTGCAGTTGCAGCATTCGCATATCCAAAACTGGATCATAATCAGATGAAACGTCAAACCAACAATCCAAACTGCAACCCCAATGCATGTTGTAATCCTGGTGATGATACTTGCTTTAAGACCTGTGGTTTGTCTAGCTGCGCTTGTAATCCCAATTCATGTTGTAAACCTGGAGACATGACATGCAAGAACTTATATAATTTGCGTGACTGCAACCTGGGAGAAAATCCTCCTTAATCTGCTAATACCGCTATTTGTCCACTTCTGATATTTATAGTTGAGAAATTAACGCAAGTATAAATCGCACCGTATTTTGTGCTACGTGTTTTGCTTTTTTTTGTAATTTTGTGCCTTTTTCCTGATGATCTTTATTTCTTTTTAGCAATTTTAGTTGTACAAAATTTACAAATTGATGAGCTCGGTGTTTCACGAAGTTGGTTGCGTTGTGTATATACTGTATACTCTTGATCATGCTCTTGATCATGCACACCTCGCTTCACTCCATTTCGCTGTGAATAATGCTCATATTTATACTAAAAATTCTGTGTAATGGACAGACCTTTTTCGTTTTCTTATTAGTACTTGTACCACCTTTCTGTAATTCTTCATTTCCTATTAATTTTTTTTCTCTCTGTAATTTGTGCTACGTGCTTATGTAACTGATTTCTGAATTCACTTTGTATCTTACTTTTTTTTCTTTTCGAGATACTTTCGATTATTTCACCATAAATTTTTTTAAAATTTCGATTAAAATTCGATTATAACTAACTAGTCAATTAATCTTTAATTGACTAATCAACTAGTTACCAAATCGAAATGGCTTGGCATAATTGTATAGACTTTAATTACAAGATCAATGTGTGATACTATATAAAACAACTAATAATCTATTAATCATTTAATCGTCAACAATTTATTAGTTTACTAATAAAAATTATCATCAATTTGATTAATTAACCGCTTGTTCTATTTTCATTTTGTAACACTACTCACAATCCATTGTATAAATTTGTTCTTCTAAAAATACAAAATATAAAAACCGGAATACGAACACCTTAATTAAAAATTATAAACCTTTCAAAAACTTTAAAAGGGAAACTACCTTAAGTTAAATGATCGAATGAATGGTGTTTCACAATTACGATTTTTGAAATATCTAAATTCCTGATTGCATATCTTAAATATCAAGTTCAAGCTTGAATTCCCTCATGCTACATTTATTAAGATTGATTTCAAATTTCTGGTCAAACCTAAATTGCCTAACGCCATACCTTTTACCCTTATTAAATTCGAATCTAACATTTATTAAAATTTTAAATCAACTTACTAATCAATTAATTTATTATTGCGCTTTACAAAAATATGTGAACGCTACTGATCATTTTTTCATGTGAGAATCGGAGATTTTCTTGATTTTTTATGATTTAAAAAATTAAACTGTTTTTAAAGAAATATAAATATAACAAATCGAAAATATAAAGTAATTGACAATCTTGAATCTTGGTGATTCTCAGCCATCATATCACTAAAATCACATATTCACATCTTTTTGCAAAGCGCTATAATCGTTTAATTAATCATCAACAGTTGATTAGTTTTCTAATAAAATTCTCATCGATTCGATTAATTAATCATTTGATCGATTTTCGATTTGTAACAATTCTCAATTCACCAAAACCTATAAAATAAAAAAATGGAATCTGAACTTCTTAATTAAAAATTATAAACCTTTCAAAAACTTTAAAAGAGAAACTACCTTAAGTTAAATGATCGAATGAATAATGTTTCACAATTACGATTTTTGAAATATCTAAATTCCTGATTGCATATCTTAAATATCAAGTTTAAGTTTGAATTTTCTCATGCTACATTTACTAAGATCAATTTCAAATTTTTGGTCAAATCTAAATTGCCTCATGCTATACCTTTTACCTTTATTAAATTCGAATCTAACATTTATTAAAATTTCAAATACTTCAGGGAGAAAATTCATTTCATCTTCTTTATCAACTGACTAATCAATTAATCTATTATTGCGCTTTACAAAAATATGTAAATGCTAATGATCATTTTTTCATGTAAGAATCCGAGATTTTCTAGATTTTTTATGATTTTAAGAATTAAAATGATTTCAAAGAAATATAAACATAACAAATCAAAAATATAAAGTAACTAATGATCTTGGATCCTGGTGATTCTTAACCATTATATCGCTAAAATCACATATTCACATTTTTTTGCGAAATGCTATAATCATTTAATTAATCATCAATAGTTGATTAGTTTTCTAATAAAATTCTCATTGATTCGATTAATTAATCATTTGATCAATTTTCGATTTGTAACACTATTCTCAATTCACCAAAATCTATAAAATAAAAAAACCGGAATATGAACTCTTTAATTAAAAATTATAAACTTTTTAAAAACTTTAAAAGGGAAATTACCTTAAGTGATTGAATGAATGCTTTTTCACAATTATGATTTTTAAGATATTTAATAAATTCTTGATTGCATCTCTTAGATATCAAGTTTAAGCTTAAATTTCTTCATGCTATATTTATTAAAATCAATTTTAAATTTCAAGTCAAACCTGAATTGCCTCACACCATACCTTTTTACTTCAGTAAAACTGTGAAAATAAGATATCATGAGATTCTCGACCAATCTTTAAAATCTTTTCGCATATAACTAAATGAGCAATTACCTTTTTACACTTCTTAGATAAATGCAAAAGGAAAAAACATTAAAGCTCAAGACCAAAAAGAGAATAAAAAAAAAATCATAATCCGGTTTACCATTAATAAATTACAAATTGCAAAACCTGTTCGAGTAATTCATATCGTTATCGCCATTTAATAAAATAAATAAAATTAAAAAAAATTTACAAAACTTTACATATAAAATCCATCGCATCTAAGTAAAAAAAAAAATAATTCAATCTTTGTTCTTTTATCAAAAAAAAATAACTTCAATTTTCGTAACCCTATGTTTTATTAAAACTATCTTAGGAAGTGAAAAATGTGTTTATAAAAATGCTATTTACAGAACAAACAGTAATAAAGAAGAATTTAGAAAATTAACTTACAAAGGTTTTATAACCCAAAAATCCTTAATTACTGAGTTAGAAAAAAATTCCATAGCTTTAATGATTAGAAGATATGTACTTGAAGATGCTGAATATGTAAATATATCAATTAATACCCAACCCCATAACTATAATATATTAATTTTTTTTTTAAAATACCAGCTTACTTTAGTACAAACCATACTAATTTCCACCTCCAATGACGAAATTGAAATCACTCCGGATGACTTACCCTATTCGTCTTCACTATTACTATTTTTTGCTCCTGTTGTTTCTAATACCCACTTTTCCAATAATAAATTTGGCAGAGAAAGCCTCATGCTTTCTAAAAAATTGTATAATGGCGTTACTGGTCATAAAAACATAGAAACTGAAATAATTGTATCTTATACTAATCAAAATGGTCGATATAATGCATTAAAAGATAACCTAAAAAAAACAGTTCTTTTAATAATTGGAAGGTTAAAAATTGGTACAAAAAAAAATGCTTCATATTATAGCTACAGACATCAAATAGAACTATGCTAGTAATGAACAAACCTCTAATAATTCAAATAAAGCAAAAGCAAAAGCTCAAAGTGATATCAACGACTATTTCGAAGGTATTGAAGAAAAGTACAATTAAATTCTTCCTCCTCAAGAAAAAGACAATGCTCAAATTTATCACCTACTTCTTTATCAAAAGCACAAAAGACTGACCCTTAAAGCAATAATTCAAAAACCCAAAATGATAAATCTCCAGCTAATAATTTTTTACAAGCCATAGATCAAATTAAAAATATTGAAACCGGGCCTTAAAATAATATTATCAATAACAATAATCCATCTGCTCTCAAATAGATTTTCCTACTAACCTTTCTTTTTTTACTATTAAGCCTGCAAATTTCTTTCTTTGCTTTTCGTAACTCAACTGAAACAAATTTTATATCACTAAAACTTAGAAATTTTAAATTTGTATGCACTTAATAAATAAATTTCATGATTTTTCTTTTTTTAGAAAATTATTAAATATACTTCAATATCCAGATATGTGTAACATATAAATTACGACTATCAAAATGCAAGCCTATAATTGGCTAAAACTTATACTACGTAAAAATTCTGACTATTGAAACTAGAACATAAAATTTTTTAATACTATATAATGCATGTATAATAATAAATCTAAAAAACTTTTTTCATAATCTACACTGAATCATATCTTAAAAAAAAATAATAATAGTATTCCTTGATATTAAAGACATTTCACTTTATAACCCAAATATATTTTACTTACATAGTCAACGCAAATTAAAAATTTTAAAAATTATATTATTTCTTTTTTTTTTTTTTTTTTTTTTTTTTAATATTTAGATGACCACTTAGGCCCCTGGCACTTTATTAGTTCAAACGGGT